ACTTCAATAGACCTCTTATCATAAGTTAACTTCATCGAATCAGCGGACGTTTTAAGATTTGAATGCACTTGATGGTGAATATCATCATCCTTTCCGATAACACTTCCACAAACTCTGACATATTCACAGGCAACTCTTCATCATTTGGGCGTCCCTTATGCTTGGGTCCCCTTTTAGCACTACATGTATTGCATGTCCTGCACCATTCTTCCCCATCTCGCCTCATACCTATCCAGTAAAATCTTTGTCGTAGATGACTCAATGTCTTCCTAATTCCGAGATGTCCTCCTATTAAATTATCATGGGATTGACGCAGCACAACTTCCCGTAACTTCCTCGGTATAACTCTTTGCCAAGTCGTCACTTTCCCATCTGTAGTTTCCCATCTCCGGACAAGAATACCATTTTCAAGCTTCAACTGCTCCCATTGCGCCAAATAGTGCTTTATCACAGGGCTTAAACAAGACACCTTCTCCCAAGCAGGGCGCAAAACACTTGCTTTTAGAAAATCAATCATTGACTTCAAATCCTGGTCTTTCTCCTGCTCTGCTTTAATATCTATACCTGGTTCCACTTCGTCTTCATCAACTTCTTCAGTCACTTTGACTTCACCTTGATGGCACCTAATTAGTTCAACCTCTCTTTTAACAGTTACCGGAACTTGGCCTTTGTTATTCCCAAACGTCATTTTATCAAAATCCATTACAAACTTCCTTGATAGTAGATAGTCCAATCCTAATATGCATTGGTCTTCAATGTCAGCCAAGTATACTTTCTGTCTGTCCTTTATGCCCATGAGCTCAATAGTTACCCACACTGGTCCCCACAACCTTGTAGAATGTCCCGTCACACTATAAAGCTTCTGTATGGCTTCTGGTACTCCTTCATGATCTAACACCTTGATGCTCACAAGGGTTTGCTGAGACCGCAGAGTCTATGACAAAGTTGCACCTTTGGCCATCTAGCTTTCCTGTCACATAGACACTGTGTGTGCTTGGTATTCTATACCTAGCTGTTGGGACTTTCATGATGGGGGCTGGTGGGCGTCGCTCAACACTAACCACTACTGGTCTAGCTTGAGGCCGACTTGTTGGTAAT